CTCGTCTTCTTCACCCGCTTCGCCGCCGCTCTCCCAACCTTCCCAGCCCACTCCGGTCGCCGCCTCGCCGTCCGCAAGCCACGCCACCCCCCTCCAGTCCCGCTGCCATTTTAACTCCTGAGTGGCCAGAGGCCCCCTCTTCCTAACAAACAACCTCTCCCCAGAGGGAGGAGTTGGGTGGGGCCAGATGCTAAAGCTTGAGGGTCTGGGGCCAGTGGTGGTCAGATGCAAGGCTTGCGTGAAAGAAGGGGGCACAGCGACTGGGTCTGAGAGGAGACGGGGATGGCTCTTCTGATGTTGCCTTTTACCCTCTTGCAAAGTCCAGTAGGTTCTACCCTTCCTAAGTTGACAGCGCACTATTGTTCATGGACACAGACATCTCTATTCTAAAGATGGCAAACCCCCTGAGTTCTCATGCCCTTGCAGCATCGCCCCCTGATCAAGGCAGTTGTGACGTCTTAGAAGATCCCACCCTGGCCCTTAGCAAAGGATATCAGTCTACCTGGGTTTTAGGCAGAAACTGGCAAGCCCAGTCAGGGACTTGGCTTTGGCGGTGCCTACCCTGCAGGCTGGGAGGTTATGAATACTGGAAAGGAGAGTAGGAGCTGATCCATGCTGAAGGTGGATGCTGGGCTGCTGCCTGGTGGCTTGGAAAGGCTGGGTCCCTGCCACCAGTGTGGGCTTGGGAGAGTGGGTCTCCTGCCTTAGTGGGACCTTCCTCTAGAACCACTCAGAGTGGACACAGCAAACTCAGCTCCAGGACAGGCCACATCTGCTGATGGGTCTTGACCAGAGCCTGCAGAACCAACAGGAGAGTAGGTGGGGTGGAGTCCAAGGTATAGGGAGTTCTGTGAGAAGGGCATCCATTATGTCTTCCTTCATCCAGAGCTCCCCTCAGTGCCTCCTGTGAGGTGAGCTCTGGGCAGAACACAGACAGAGCTTTCTGGCTCTGTCTTTTCCAAGGGCACAGACAGTGGTACCTCCACGCCCGGAGGCTTTTATAAAGTTGGCTTGAAGACCTGTGTGTTCTGTATGCACAGAGGCTGTTCTCACCTTTGTATATTCAATAAGTACATATTAAGTTACCAGTGCACCTCCGAAACAACCCCCATGCCCCCACCCTCCACCCCTGCTGTGAGACAGAATGGCCTCAAGGAGCTTGGAAGAAGGAACAAGTTGGGACCATATGAAACAAATTTTTAACATTTCAAGGCAATGGAAGTGCCATTGAAATACAGAAAGAAAAAGCCATCATGGGCTAGAGTTATTCATAGAAGGTTTTGTGGAAGATTTGAGATTCAAGCTGAGTCCAGATGGAGGGACAGAAAAACAGAGACAAGCAGAGTAGAATGGTTTGTCTGGAGGGGAGGGAAAAAGGAGAGAATTTATAGAGCTACTTTTGGATGCCAGGCCTTTTCACATCTCTCTCATTTTATCCTTTAAGTTGACTCTTACCCCACTGAACAGACAGGAAAATGGAGGTTCAGAGAGCTTAACATCTACAGGCAGAATTTGAACTCTCTTTGAACCCACAGTGTCCTGGCTATAACACCACATTGCGTATACAGAGTGGAGCAGCTGATGAAGAATCTGAATTGCCAGGCTGAGCAGTTTAGCTCGACTACGCACTCGTGGTTTGGGATGAAAGAGGCAGGGAGCTTGGAGGCTAGTGAGGAGGCTGTTGTAGGAAGGAGGGCGAGGGGAGCAGTGAGAATAGAGAGCAATGGGTCTTTGTAAGGAAGACCTGGCAGAACTTTGACACTGATTGAGTGAAAGGGGTCAAAACTTGACTCTAAGCTTTTGAGCGTGTTTGGGTCCATTGTCAATTCAGTGGAGCCACCTCAGCATCCAGAGGGCCAATGTCATTGTATACAGTATTGATTGCGCAAAAGAGGAAATGCTACCAATCCTTTACTAGCTCAAGGGCATGAGCTCTCTCACGCTCCAGTGCCCCAGCCTCCCAGCATCTATGTATGCTGCCTAGTGCATCTTAGCTCCCAACCAGACCGGAAGCTTCTGGAGGGCTAAGACTATCCCACACAACACCAAGTCAAGACTAGTATCTTATAGTAGGTGCTCAATAACTGACTATTGAAAAATAAATGGAGTAAAAGCAAGTCATATTTGCCAGGTGGCTGGTACCTAAGTGGCAGACTCTGTAAGACCCATGTTGGGTAAGAGAATTGCATTGCCCATGGGGAGAGAATGGGGAAATCTTCTCTTAAGCTGACTCCAAATCTCTTACAACCCAATGGGACTGAGGGAAGAGCATAGGTTTGAGAGCCAGAGGTTTGAAACTGCTTATCACTTCCTCTGTGTTGCTTCAGGAAAAGTGCTTAAATTCTCTGAGTCTAATTCTTTCTTATGTAAAAATATTAATTCAAGTAATAGCAGTTAATAGTTGTTAAATACCTACCACATGTAAGGCATGGTAAAGCACATTTATGCATGAGCTCATTGAAAATTCCACCAACCCCAGGACTTGAGATAGGAGAAAAAAGACGTTTGACATTAACATAACTGGTACGTAATGGAGCTAAGATCTGAACCCAGGGCTATCTGATTGTGCAGTCTAAGTACCACACTACCCTGTGACACTTCCTTAAGTCAGATACTTTCCTAGAAAAAGTTAGGAATTCAATTCAGTCTTTTGGAAGCTCTTAGGTAATTACCCAGAGATTTTAATGGCCCTGTTACTGACCTTGTGCCCTCCAAGTTAGATCTCTAGGTTTAGCCACGTCAGGAAGCCTGGGAGGGACTCTGTAACACTAGAGTGCCTCCGGAGAAGGATGCTGGGATTATATGCCTCTGCAAATGATGCTCAATTCAACTCCACTTGGTTCTTTAACACAAGGTCACACACTGGGCTAGTAGGCATGCTATTTGTGTGGTGGAGGGCAGTGAGAGAGGAGGGCTTCTGGAACCCGGCAGATGAGCCAAGTCAGAGAAAAGAGGTTGGGGATGTCTGCCACCTTTAGTGGACTTTGTAGCCTCTGCCAGGGCCCCACCTCAGGAGGCTCTGGATGGGGTCTTTGGAGTCACTGAGGACTGTTGTCCCCCAAGTGACCCAGCTAGGTAGAGAGTGTGGCCCTAGAGCAGTGGTCCTCAGGCTTAAGCATCACCTAGAGCATGTGTACAAATGCAGACAAACAAGTCCTACAGCAGAAACAGATTCTGCAGTTCTTGAAATCTGCATTTTGGCAAACTCTCCTGATTCAGATGATTCCGATTCAGGTGCCTGGATGAGCCCTGCTTTGAGACACACTGGCTTGTGGTGCCCGTTGCTCTCTGACCTTTCCTGTCTGGGCTCAGTGACAGCAGAGCCCTGTACTCTAGCTATTAGGGAACAACAGTGACAGAACACAGAATTCCTGCTAGAGGCAGGTTCATGGTGAAGCTGATGAAGCTTAAGCTTTAGGGTCGCTCGCCTGAGGGGCAGGTTGGCTATGAGATCTGGGAGTTGTAAAGTGTTCTATATAGGGAGGGGAGGCCAGTTTTCAAACAGGAAGCATTTTTATGTAAGCGTTTCTGGTAAACTGAATAAAGAGATGTCAGAAGAAAGGGATTTGAGTTTCCGAGGCTCACATAAACTGTTGTGATTGCTTCACTTCTAAAAAAAATATTACCATTGGACCTAATTTTGTGTTTGTTCTTTTTCTTCAATGGGCCTCTCAAAATCTAGATCTTCCCCTGGCCTCTCAGATAGCTCCCAGGATCCACAGACACCCTTGGATCGCAGAGAACCGGAAAGGCAGGAGGACATTGCAGATGGCAGAGCTGCATGGAACTGCAGGGAGTCCTCACATTCTTGGAAAAGGCACCGCAGGTAAAAATGATGTAGGTTGAATCTGTTTTTGCCAGAAACAATGTGAGAATGGAAATTACATTCCTCACCAAGGTCCTGGTGCCCAGGTTTTTGTAGGAATAAATGTAAACACCATAAACACCATATTTAATCAACTGTAAATGATACACCTGTACTCATATGTGTTAAATTGAATTTGAGTATATAAAACAGCTAAACTGGGCAATATGTTAACCAAATACCATTCTATTTAATTTAATTTAATGTATTCAAAGATTCCTTGGAGACATGTTGTTTGGGGAGTGGGTAGAGGTAGCCACGGAGAGGATTGGAGACTCCCACTCCCCTCCACACAAAACCCGTGTAGGCGAGAGGGAGACTCCCAGAGGTCCAAGCTGGGGGACAAGGGTTTCGTGCCCCATAGCACCTCCAAAACAGACAAACCAGGCAGTATCATATGTGGATACAACTGGCTGACTCTGAGGTGCATGTATCTGAAGTCAAAGGCTGCATACACACCAATAATGGGGGCCATTGGGGAGGGCTTGGAGGGCTTGGAGTTTAATCAGGCTGATCTAGAATGGCTTTCTGGAGGAGGAAAGTTTTGAGAAGATCTTTGAAGGCAGGTTTCTGGAGAGGTCATCAGTCCCAGGAAC